AGCGGTGGAGGCAAGCGCTACTTGCTGTGCAATGACGTCATATGTAGCAAACCTGGGGAAAGGACCACAACTGTTGCGCAAAAAAGTGCCCTTTCGTAGGCTTTCGTAGACTTTCGTAGACTTTCGTAGACTTTCGTAGACTTTCGTAGACTTTCGTAGACTTTTGCGCCAAATGTGAAACTGCTGTTGGGACACGAAAAGGCACAGCAAAATGACAGCACAACTGATTTTGTCGCAGGAAAAGTGTCCGATTTGGGCAATCCAAGCCTAAGAACTAAAGCCCTTCCCACAGGGAGAGTTCTACGAAGCATACAACGGACATTCGACAAGCACCGTATCTCGCTCGTCTTGTCTACCATCGAATCCGGAAGGGACCAGACGTTCTCCTCATCATGAGCCAGTGTTGATCATCCGCTCACCACGCGTCGTTCGCGCAGCTGGAAGGCGTGTGTCTTTACCACTTTGCTGTGATATTCGACCTTCGGACTCGATTTCCGGGCTTACCAGTGAATCATAGCTACTGTGATTTACTGTAACACCTTGAGGTGATTATACCCTCTTTGGGATGTGAAAACAACACGGAGTATGAATTCTCAAGATTGAAGTGTTTTCTCTACAATGGTTTAAAACGCAGTCCTTGAGCCGTTGTATTTGTTCTTTATAAAGTTCCTGGAGCTTCACCTCTTCTCTTATATTTCTGAATTATATTGTTATTGAGATTATTGTTATTGAGATTATTGTTATTAAGATTATTGTTATCAAGACTACTGTTATTAAGATTATTGTTATCAAGACTACTGTTATTAAGATTATTGTTATCAAGACTATTGTTATCAAGGTTATTGTTATCAAGACTACTGTTATCAAGACTATTGTTATCAACACTACTGTTATCAAGACTATTGTTATCAACACTACTGTTATCAACACTATTCTTGTTGTCTCTATCATATCAACTACTCTCTACTAACCACACCGCGCGAATGGAACACTATACATCCTACTGCTAGTGAAAGATACAATGTGACGTCGATATAACTGGAAACACCAAGCTGAGCCTTCAAGAGCACACTGCGGACTCCTTTCATCTCTCATTACACAGGGAGAGAGTAATGGCGTTAAAGAAGATAGGCGAGATGCAGTCCGCGAGGAGGTCAGAGCACTACCGCAAACTATACCAAAAGATAACAGACATAGTGGCTCACAACCATTGGCAGAATCATAACACATCCAACATCATCCTTCGAAAGCATCGTGCCACCACCATTAGAAAGCCAAGAACTGGTAAACATGAACAGGAACCACGAGATGAACGAAAACTTGATGATGAGCTTGCACTAAGCCTTTTACCAGCGTTTGGCCTTTAAATCTCAAGTCATGGCGACACGCCTCTCGAGAATGACTGAAGAGTACACCAGCAAGACATCCACCGGCTGTGGGACAATAAATGCCACATTGTCTCTGGCTGACGACACCTTCCACTGTGCCTCGTGCAACTTGTCTGTCGACCGTGACATCAACAGTGAGCACAACATCATCATCAAGTGTCTTGTCGCATCTCAATAGACACACACACACACAAGGAGCACGTCCATGCTCCTCTACAATCACCACCTCTGTTCTGTCTCTAAGGAGCACCGGAAGGCATCATCATGAACGGACAAATGGTTCCCATTCTATGGGATATTTCTCTATAGCGCACACGAGCTGAGGATTGATGATAAGAGGCTAAAAGATGGAGAAACAGTGTATTGAATCCGTACTATAGAAAGAAAAGTGTACGGACCTGGTATCGTGTGTAAGAATTGAAGAAGATGGACTTTCAAGTCGATGGGATGTTGGTGGTATCCTTGCTGATTTGCATCCCATCGTAGTTAACGGCGTCAAAGTTCAATGGCTCAATACCAAAGAGACACTCTGGGGACACTGAGACCCCGTTGAAATCCCAGGTGGCATCCTCATAGGTATAGTACATCTGTTGTAGAGTGTCTCTAGATTGCTCAGTGTCAAAGTAGTTGAATGGAGTGAAGATGATGCTGGATTGTGCCGTGCTGTAGATGGTGTTTGGGATATCCTGGGTGTTTGGCAAGTGATGCAAAGCCAAGTTGAACCAATAGACCAAGTCTTCGCCGTCAATGCTCTCTCCATCAACAAAGTTGTCAAAGTTGATGATTGGGTCCTCCAAGTCTTGGGAGCAGAAAACGTGAGAAGACGTGAACTCCGTGTCCTTTTGAACGGTGATGGCCATATCCTTTTCAGCCCAGTGAGCGTTGTTGATGATGGTGTGGGTGTTTTGGGCAATTCTTCTGGCATCACCACCTGGGAAAACAGCTCTATAAGCCCTTGGATTACCCCAAGTGTTGTTTTGCTCTGCAGACTCAATCAACAAGATTGCACCGGCATCGGCCCAGTTCAGGTATGTCTCATTGGCAATGACACTTCTTCTCTTTTGCTTGGTGGAGAACACTTTATCTGGTGCCCATGGATAAGTGTGGTTGACAGCCTCCAATTCAACCTTGGCCAGTCTGTTTGCAGTTCCAGCAATGTCGAAATCTGCCTTGAAGTTGATAACGTGGTCGTGGAAAGAGCCTGACAGCACTTCGTTGATCTTGTAGCCAAATGGATCACCGGTCTCTGGGTTGTAGTAAGCACCCTGGATGTAACCAGCAGCCCTGACAGAGACCTCGAAAGTACCATCGAGGAAGAACTTGTACAGGAAGTTGTAATCGTAGTTGCCGATAGTGGTGATGGATCTCAGGTTGAAAGTTGGGTTCTTGGAGACAGTGATGTACTCGGAAGCAGTGTGTCTAACAAACGGATAGTCCTCAGAGAACTCAAAGGCACAGTAGGAGTTGTTATGGTAGTTATTATCACCGTTAGAGTGCCATGTAACGTTGAAGAACTCAGCGTTATAAGGACAATCAAACCCTGGAACCAGTCCAAATGCCTCGTTACCAAAGCCGTAGGATCTGTCAAAGTAAGTCGTATGAGCTTGGAATGGATCATCACCAGAGTACTCTGCAATGGCCTCCTGGAGTCCAATCTCAAAGGCAATACGCTCGCCTTTGAACTTGACGTCGTACAGAGCCAAACCGTTATCTCTGTTCCATGCGACGTAGAACTCCCAGTCCATCCATGTAAAGTATCTCTCGCTCTCACTGTACTTCCATCTTCTTCCTTCTGGCTCGATGGCAATTGGAGCCAATTTCTCGTCCAGCTCTCTCGTGGTGCCCTGTTGACCAATGTAGACGAAGGTCTCAGTGGTGTTCAAGTTTGTAGTGTCGATTTTTGGCAGCTTGACGAAATCGTCCGACTCCCATGCCTCCCTAAACTCGCCCGAAGAGTTGTAGACGATGTTGTTGTAGACCCACTGGGAGATGTAGTAGTCCTCAACGTTTCTGCCCGTCATGACAATTTGTAGGAAGACACCAGTTGGCGTAACATCACCAGCATCGTGGTAGTTGAGGAAAATGGTGGCCCAATCTGTGACAGTACCATCATCGTCAATCTGGAATGGATCAGTGGCCCAGCATTCAACTGTCGAGTTTTCCTCGCCGTAGGTCTTGATATCTTCACCAACGAGGTCCACGAGAACAGGCAACATGGTATCGGATAAGATCTCCGCTGCGTAGACCTCCTCCGCAGCGGCCCACTTCAAATCATCCTTGTAGCCCTTTGCGAAGGAAACCTTTGACTTGGTGTAGATGTACTCCAGCTCTGAGATCTCTGGCGTCGAGCCGTTGGTGTTCAATGGACCAACTTGCAGTTCTTGCCAGTATCCATCTGGGAATTCATCGCTGGTATACTCATCAGTGCCCAAGAACACCGTAGCACGGGCCCAACGCTCTGGGACTGGACCATCGTTATCCAAATAGGCAATTGCATCTGTCTTGTTTGGTCTCAAGGTCTCAATCCAGGTGACGTAGTTGTCGTACATCGTGGCATTGACGGAGGCAGTCAGGTTGAAGGTGTCCTTCAACAGGTCGTAGACCACCTGAGCTTCGTCATCGCTCAAGTCTGCCCAGATGTTGATCTTCGAAGGAACAGCATCACCAGGAGTGGAAGCGCCACAAGCAACTTCTCTCTTCTCCAGCAACTCTGGATATCTCTTGTATAGGAATCTATTCTTGTACTCGGATCTTGCCTGTCTCGGGTTGAGGTACGCACTGGCCAAGGAGGCCAAAGACAATGCAGCGGTGAAGTGTTTCCACAGCATTGTTACTGAGTAGAATGAGTGATAATCTATGTAATAATCTATGTATTGGGAGCTACGCCTATTCCGAGGCTCTAGACGGGCATCTACACGGGTATTTATACACGGGGATGGCTTTCTCGACGACCCATATCTGTATACACCACCTTCTCATACGTGAAACAACAGATAAGCTCTGACGAATGAAACATCTCCCCTGAGCTGCGAAGATCTTCGATGTACACGGGAAGATAAAGAGCGAGCAGCCCGACACAAGCGACCTACAACGTCCTCGGTGGAGGCGAACCGTTTAGGCCAAACCGGCACACCACTGCCTCCCTCTCTACCCCTATTGAGCAGTACAGTGAGTGTCTTCGAGGGTCCATGTGAAGATAATGCAAGGGTATGTAATGCATGAGTTCATGATGGAGTTGCAGCTTCCTGATTGGGCAATAATATGGCCTAACCTCGGCACCAATGTGTGTACGCTCTTTATGAGTTTGCAGTAGTAGAAAACCGTTTTCTTGGGCTTGTTAGCTTTGGTTATCTTGGCAATGTCTGTCTCCGATGGATTGGGTTGTTTTGGGCCAATATTTGCAGTTGTTGATGGATGAGATCGCTGTAGCTTTCTTCGTGTGTATTCCGCACATATTTCCTAAATGAGAAGCAGTGGGAAGAGCCGGAGTTGATAAGCTATGCAGTGCCTTGTAGGAGGAAAGCAAGGGAGCACGGATGTTATTCAGGGTTTCGAATTGTTGCGTGTGTGGT